ACGGCACTGTGGGACAAGTGATTTCAAAGTATCGGAGTGACGACGACGCTTGTTGTGCCTGATTGGTCAGGCTACTTTACCCAGACAGCCACTGGGGTGGGCTGCGTTGATCTCACCGTGGAAGTCTCCTTCACCCGGGATAGGATAATACCCATTTAATACAACAATGCGCTGCTCCATTTCATATTGTCATTGGCGTGCAGATGAGAGTGGAGAACGAGTGGGCAGGCACTGAGCCAGAGACCGTGGTGGGGGCGTGGGGGGAGGGAAGGGGTTGGATGTGGGGAAGGGGAGTGGACAAGGGGCATGAACACGCTAGGTGGTACCAGGGCAGCGGAGGAAGGTGGGAGCATTAAAATAACAATCAAGGTCGTAGGGTCACTTATCCTGGGACTTGCCCAGCAGGGCTTCGTCTTTCATCGAACATCCTCTGGGTGGCTGGAAGACCTGGGATTGGGCACGCGGCTCGTAGACAACAGCCATCACGAGGGCTGTACTGGATATGGTGTGCCGGGTGCGGAGATGTATGTACGTACGTACGCTGAACTTCATTCGCGCCGTATGTAGCCAACCGTGCAAATCGGAGGTGCGGTTAGAACGGAATATTAGACATATACATTCCGGGTGGCCGACCTGGCTGGAATTAAGAGCTGGTGCCGGGAGGTTCCGACTTCGCAATGCATGGCTACGGTCTAATTGAGCATCTGAATTGTTTTGTCGGCCGCGATTCGAATGTTGTGCTCAAAGTTCCGGACGGATGGGTCCATGGGCCCACTTGGCCCGACTCGGTTGGCCACCTCTTACGGTTATCCCAGGGAAGTTATCTCTCTTTTTGGGACATCTGTAAGTCTTTCCGAGGACATTAAAAGTCCCAGTGTTTGTCACTGAGGCCGTCCATAAATGACGTCACGCACCTAGGGGGGAGGGGGGGTGGTCAGACATTTGTGACGATGTGTGACGAGGGGGGGGGGGGGTGTTTGAGAAATGTGACGTCACATCAAAATGCGCAACTTTAAATAAATATAGACAACACGTTCTACTTAATTAAATTGACTTTTTAAATAAATGTTTTCTCCTACAACATCAGAGTGCAGCGCCACATTAAATACGCACTACAATGACAATAGTTTAAAGCGATTTGAAGCATGTTTTTTTATGGGGGGAGGGGGCAGGGCTTTGTGACGTCATATTTGAGGTCTGACATATTGTGACGCCGTGTGACGAGCGGGGGGGGGGGGGTCAAAAATCATCCAAAATCGCGTGACGTCATTTATGGACGGCCCCACTTCCGTGATAGGACACCACCGAAGACAACGCATCCACTTGGAGTCATTCCCCTCTTCTGGTACTGAGATATGTATTGCTCTTCCCCTGATGTGCCCCGGCGTTCTGTACCACAGCCCGAGGTTGAGCGATTGGTGGCGGTGGCGTGTGTCTGTGGGGCGGTGGTGTAGCGGTTAGCGCTGTGCTACGAACCCCGGCGACCCGGGTTTGATTCCGGCTCACGGCCAACACCAGTGACATATTATCTGAACCGGTCCTGGGCCTCTCCTAGGTCGACTCAACCTCGAATGCGTATCTGGTGCGGTCTGTAAAGTCATCGCCACTGGGGAGACAAAGGCGGACGGGCGTGGTGCTGGTCACCCACGCCCTCGTGTGCCGTTCCGGCCTTCATAGGTGCTGCTCGCTAACAGCACTTGCCCCTGCAGTCTGTTATGGCTATACTGGGGGATCTTTGTCTTTGTTTGGTGCTCATAGCCAATAAGTTGGCTGTCTCGCGGATGCACAATGTGTCGAAATTATTCGTCAAACTTTAAACGTAACACTGATTGCATTTCACCCCCCCCCCCCCCCAAAAAAATCTCTTTTACCCAACATCATCCCAACATTGGCGAGTCAACGACTCACGGGCACCAAGAATGTTCTCATGGAGCGCTGCCCACGGTCACCACGGCTCATCAGCGAGCCGTGCCCAGCCACTGATTGCCAAGGAGATAAAGAGGCCGCTATTAGGGCGAGTAGCCTCTGCGTAAACAGCGGGTCCCTTGAAAGAGCAGCGACGCGTAAATCATTCATAAACATATCGAGGTCAAGGTGTCTCGCTGCCCTTAACGAGCTTGGGACTCCATTCGCCTTCTACCCCGTGGTGGGGGGAGGGAGGGGGCAGCAAACTCCGACGCGTTTTGTCTTCGGGGACCGTCGCGACGTTGTTCGGCGCGATGTCCGACGTTTCGCTCCACGTGCCGGGCACCCCTTCAGGAACTTTAGTGGCGCCACGGTGGCGAGACGTTAACTACCTCGCCTCGCATGCAGGAGTTCCGTGGGTTCGATCCCGACCCTTATGCCTGCTGTATATTTGGAGTTTGCATGCCTCTCTCCCCGTGGTCGCGTGGATTTTCCCATCGGGCCCTCCGGTTTTTCCCTCCACAATTAGAATCATCATCACGCGTGTGGCGTGTTTGGCTGCTGCGATACGTTTCCACGCGATAAGCCACCTTCGTTGAGCTGCCATTTGTGGCCAGGTCCGCTTCTGACAAAAGAGCCGTAACAGCTCGGCGGGCCTTACCTGGTAAAATAAAAAGAGTCAAGGAAATAAAATGGCATTTGAATTTCCCTGCAGCAAATGTCCCGACTAGAGCGCCCCTTGCACGTAGGGCGTGACGGTGGAAGCCCTGAAAACGCATCGACAAATGGACATCTCCATTAGTGGCACCTGGGTCGGCGGTGGGCAGTCCACATTAACTGTGGCAGAGGTCAGTCCCTCAATGGGAAAAGTATATGCACACGTTGTACTGTCATATTTGGCAATCCACTGCTGGATGAGGACCTCCCTTTGCCGCGTGGATCACGGGGGTTATTTGACCACACTTGAGCATGCTGGTCAGTGTGGCTTGGAAGAAAGCTGGGACCATCGAAGTTGGAGCATAGAAGTACTGTACAATAGAACGATCCAGTCCAGAAGAGAGCCACACATACAGAGCGTCACCCTACATCAGGGGTGGGGAACCTTTTTTCTGCCAAGGGTAATTTAGATATATATAACACCATTCGCGGGCCATACACAATTATCAACTTAAAAATTAGCCTGTTATATTTGGTCAAACATTTAATTAACTCACCCCTAATGTGATGATGGCTGAAACTGCTTCTCTTTGGCGAGGCGTTTGATGATGTTAGCTGGTATTGACGATGTTGTTACTCGCAACTGCTTTTCCAGGTTTGCTCCTAGATTTATTGAATTTCGAGTCCAGCCTGCGGTTGCCTTGGCAGGGCCAGAGACCAAATGATTTCACGGGCCTCATACGGCCCGCGGGCCGGACGTTCCCCACCCATATAAATGTGTGTGTGAGTAAATGCATACGCAAAAAGGAAGCCAGAACCATACCGACACCTCTAATCAGCGACTACATCTGCTCTGTCTATAGCAAACGCTGTGGGTCGAGGATTGGACTTTACAGTCACACAAAGTCCCACAAATACAGGCGGAGGAAGGTCATCATCGGATACGATGGACAACCCCGAAGAAGTGTGTGTAAATGCATATGCATATAAGAATGCTCAACCGGCACATACACACAAAACCTCAATTAAATAATATATTAAAGTCGGTTGTTCATCACCGCTGGGGGAATTCATCCTTGTCTGGGTCACACGACCCCAGAGTCACCGCCACTGTCGAGCACGCGGAGTCGGCAGAGTGCCCGTGCGTGGTTGATCGCTCCCCCTCCGTTATCGATGTTTTCCCCCGATACGCTTCGTGGGAGCGAGGACCCCTTTCAGAGACCGCCGCCGCTGGGCTGCTAACGCCGTGTTCAGGCCTCTGAGTTATGGGGAGATCACCAAAGTGGCTTTGTGCTCGGTTTGCCACCAACCCCCAAGCGGTGGATCTAACGATGTGACTTATTATTCGGCGCGGTAGTCGCGTTGGCTAACGTTCCGTCCCTCTGTGCAATGTATTTATATATTTCGTAAAAGCCCGGCGTTCCGTTTGTTCATTTGTCCGTCAACTAATTTATAAGAGCCTTTCAGAAGGCCCGAATAAAAAAGTTAAATAAAGTTGACCCCCCCCCCCACTCCCCAAATGTGGGGGTAAAATTTTGAAAGTTGATCCAAGAGCTTTCCAAAAATTATCAACCCCCCCCCCCCTATAATAATTATTTGTAGGCATACATGCCTACATCCACAACATAGAACAGTGCCAGTAGTATCTGCACACGTGGGGGGAGGGAGGGGCATCAGTGGGGGCGACCGGTGAAGCCCTCCAAAGGAGCTAGAGTAAGGCGGCCGTAGGCTCCCACCAATCACGTAAGGTCGTCTAATTTGCAATTGCGTCCACGTGCTTTACAACACTCTGCAAACACGCATGCGCCATCGTCTCCCCGCAGTTGGGTCATCGTTAGTAAAGCTTTCAAACGTCCTCAAATGAAATTTTTTTATCAGCTAAGGCCCACTTGAGCCATTTAGCTCTTTTCACAGAAGATAGCAGGCAGGAAATGATAGCTCAACGAAGTGGCTTATCACGTGGACATATTATAGCAGCCAAATATTCTAAACCAGTCTTCTTCATTGCGAGGCCCGCGGGCCACTGACGGCCCGTGACGTGCGGCCCCCGACAATACACAACACGTGAAGAGGAACAAAAACACCCCCATCGTACTGCTGCTGTCCAACCCCAATGGTCTCAAATGTGTGGCGGCCCTCAACACTGATGATGTCTTATCGGCGATAGTGGCCCCAATTCTGAAAATTAGTGAAGAACACTCCTCTAAACGCGTGTCGGTTCTAAATGTGGTGGGGGGGAAGGGGGAAACCAGAGCATCCGGAGAAAAATCCACGCGACCACGGGGAGAGAGAGAGAGAGGTGAGACACGCAAACTCCAAATATACAGCAGGCGTCGGGGTCGTGTTCCAGCGAGCCCGCTCCCCGAACGCTTTCCTGCAAAGGTGTTGTCACCGGATGGTGTGACTCGCGTGTAATGACGTGCGCCTCTGTTTTGCAGGAAACACCGCGCAGAGAATGGCAGACGTCAGCGTGTGAGTACCGGGTGACATCAGCTGCTCGCGCGAGTGCATCCCATTGCTGTGGTGTGTGTGTGCGCGCGCTCGTGTCTGTGTGTATGTGTGTCATGTGGGGCATAGTAGGGGGCACAAGTGGTGCATCGGCCAGTCGTCTCAATCATTCAACCCATGTCACCTGGGTCTGTCCCGTGACCTTGCTGCCAGCGGGTGTTCGACACTTCGTGTGGCCTTAAAGTGCACATGGCCTGGCACAAGCGCCGTGGTGATGTCACCGCCACTTAGTGGCGAGCGGCGGTTGTTGTTGGAGCGGTAGCGCCGCGGTTAGCGCGCTGCGCTACGAACCCGGCCACCCGAGTTCGATTCCCGCTCACGGCCACCAACATAGAGGACGATTATATTAACTAGTCCTGGGGCCTCCCCTAGGTTGACTCAGCCTCAAATGAGTACCTGGTGGTGCGGTGTGTAAACATCGCCACGAGGGAAAAAAATGCGGGCGGCCGTGGTTCTGGCCACCCACCCCTTCGTGTGCTATGCTGGCATTAATAGGTGCTCGCTAACAGCACTTGTCCCTCAAAATCTGTTAAGGCTATACCGGGTGTCTTTGTTTTGTGTTTGTGTGTCATTATCATCATCACCATAATCATCACTCTGCAGTAATCTATATATGGTATATTTCTTCATCAGCATCGTCATTTTAAGGACAAACGTATAACCTGTGTTGCATCATCATAATTATAATCACCATTGTTATGATCATATTCTATAATATAGTACGTAGGCTGTCATTCTTCATCATGGACTATATACGAGTCCAAGCTTTGTTGGAGCAATGCGTTCAACTCAAAATATTTTTTGACAAAACCTAACCCTTATCAAGGCTTGGGAGAAATGTTGCAGCAAAACGTGAATGGTAATGAGCCGAATGTAGGTGGCGCAAGAAAAGTTCCTAATCAAATCTTACACATTGAATTAAAAGTAATTGGAAATAAGTTAAATGAAGATAAGTGGCAACATCTCAAAGTAATTGGAAATAAGTTAAATGAAGATAAGTGGCAACATCTCAAAAGAGATACCGTGAACGTGTCGCTCTGATCTAAGGACCCTTAACAAGCAGCAGCAGCAGTTTCCGTGTGATCGGCAAGGTTCCGATTCCTCGAGGGGCACCCAACTAAACGCGTGGCACCGTGCCATTCCCAAGGATTCATACTCACCATCAGCCACGATCTATCCACCGCTCGACGAAAGCCTCTCCAAGCCGTGCCCATCTCTCAGGGTTCTGCAGTGTGACCAGCCCACCTGGTGCCTGTCCACGATTCTGATTTTGTTTTCCGAGCCCTTGCGATTTCCTTCGCTCAGTCGGCGTTCGCGCGACGGATTTCTCGTTTCATTCTTGTTGCGCTATGGCGAGCCATCGAACAACAGACGGGTCGACCGCATCGCGCCGCGCTTTCGAACGCGCTTCGGCAGTCGTCTGGAATGCTCTTTCTTCTGATATTCGGAAGGCTATTGCTGGAGCTATGCACTTTTTAATTCGTCAAAATTGAAAACGCATTTCTTTATAATTGCTTTTTGTGTATAGAATGTTGTCCTTCCCCCGCACCTCCGATTAGCACGGTTGGCTACTTACAGTGCGAAAGAAGTTCAACACCCATACATACATGCATACTCTACATACGTAGCCGATCCTTTTCTGCCATAATGTGCACCGATGACTACGTTATTGAGGGCGATTATTGCCACGTAAAATGAAGACCGATTGATGGATGATTCAATTGCCCCATCTCGTCGGTGGGCATTCTCTCGGTAGTGTTCCATCCCTTGACTGCCGTAACCACCACCACCACCACCATCGACACTCGGAGCCTCGTTCGACCCGTGATTCGCGGCCGCTCGCGTGCGCACGTTGCAGGAAAGGCGAGGATGGAGGAGACTGCTTTGACGATGGTGACTATGAGGAGGTGGACGAGGAAGAGGATGAAGGCCCCGGAGACAAGAAAGGTGCGGCCACAGCCTCCCGGCACTGGCGACCTTGACGCACCATCACCGCCGTTGGCTCTTCGCGACGCGTCGGAACGCGAGCGCACGCGCGTTGCATTTGGAAGTGTGCGTACATGTGTGCGCGTGACTGAGCGTGCCGTGTGTTCGTCATTGCGTTTGGAGCGGTGTTGTAGAGGTGTCACAGAACTTGCCCCTGCAGTCTAATACTGCGTGTGCGTCTTTGTCGGGGCGGTAGCGTAGTGGTTATCGCACTGCCCCACGACCCGAGTTACTTTCCCGGTCACGGCCAACACGAGTGGCATGAGCCTCCCCTAGGCTGACTCAGCCGTAAATGAGTACCTGGTGCATCGTGCAGCCACTGCTCGACCTACACCCTAGCCTCGCGCGACGCGCTGGAATTCATAGGCCGCTCGCTCACAGCGCTCGCCCCAATAATCCGCGTAGGCTAACGCGGGGGCGGGAGGGGAGGAGGAGGATCTTTATCCTCGTGGTGTTTGTCGTTTCAGCGGGTCAGCCCCTGGTGGTGTCCCAGGAGGTGCTGCAGGACCCTGACATGCTCGCCTCGCTCAAGCAGCGCCTCGACAGCGCGACCACCAACCCCTCCGACCACTACCACAGGTGAGATTTGGGAACCCGTTTGGCAGAAGGAAGGAAGTGATAGCCGCGTGGCGACATGAGCGACATAATCCGTGGTGACCTCGCGGTCCGGAGTGTTTTGCTCGCAATTCATCTTGCAGGGTTTGCTCCTTGCTGATTAAATGAATGACACAGAGATTAATCTCTTTTGAAAGCCGTAATGAATATCAATAGCCCTTCACCTAATTAAATGAGGGGTATTGCAGAGTATTAGCGATTATGATTGTCACTTAACTCTTTGTAAACAGAAATAATCTCACCTGCTTTAATCGAAGCCAGACTTCAACGTATCTCCGTATTCAGAGGAGCATTGAGACAGTAATGGAAATTCCACGTTTCTATGGTGGAGACGAGTATGTCCGCAGGACGACCCGGTTGGTGACTTTTCACAGCATGGTACAAATTTTATCAACCCACAGAGAGGATGATGGGCTGGATCAGCGAACGACAGGTATTTCAGATGACTGAACCAATCATCCTTATCTGGTTGCTGAATCGAGTACCACATTGTGAAAAGCCAACAGTGGTTGGTATGGCGATACTGCTCTTTGCCATAAAAAAGTAACAACTCAATAATAATAATCATACCATCTGAACAACGTACAGCCCCTTTAGTCAACGTGCTGCTGGGCGAAGGCCTCCCCCGCACCATGTCAAATGATGGGAGGTGTGGGGGGGGGTTGTTTGACCATGCTTCATGGTGCTGCGCGTCCACTGCTCCGTCGTGTCCCAATCCGACGTCCGTGTGGTTTTTTGTTGCGGTGGAAATTTCTGCATCCAGAGGGTCCCAGTGCGTGCCGTCAGACGCTCCTCAAGGGCCCCCTTCGGCCGCGCTTCAGCGCTGTCGTTATCCCGCGGGCGGCGGTAATTGTAACCACTGAGAGTGGCGGATATATGAACCGGTCCCGGGCCGCCCCTAGGTCGACTCAGCCTCAAATGAGTACCTGGTGCGGTGTGTAAACATCGCCACTGGGGAGACAAAGGCGGTCGGGCGTGGGCCTGGCCACCCACCCCCTCGTTGACTGTACCAGCCTTCAACGGTGCTCGCCAACAGCGCTTGCCCCAACGGTATGTTAAGGATATATACGGCTGGGCGTATATGTGGGTGTGTGTGGGTTTTGTGAAGGTTTGTGGAGCATAGGTTGGTGTCGGAGATTTGGATGCAAACTAGCGTTTGTGTCAAAGTGGATTTATTTGTGTCACCGGTGCGGGCCATGGGTTAGTCTGGGTTGGGGTGGGATACGACCATTGGTGACTTGCCTGGACTGCTGAGTCCTAATTAGGATGAAAACAGCCTACAGTCTGTCTCTGCTGCTGCTGCTGCTGATCTCAGTTGCTCACATTTGACGGTGGCCTAAGACGAGACGACTACAATGCACTTATTCAGGAAGCGCTGACGGTTATTTGCATAATTTATCAAAGGCTGGGTGGCTTTTGTTACACGATTTTGCGTGTTTGTTGAAACTCATGGGGCAAGGGTTGGTTATCATTTGTGAATTTGCGTGGTATAAGGCATAAATAGGTATGCGAATGGTTACGTGAATGTGTATGTGAATGGGTACGTGAATGGATTCGTGAATGGGTATGTGAATAGATACGTGGACGTGAACGGGTATGTGAATGGGTATAATAAAGGGGGGTTTTTTTTGTATTCTTGGGTGAGATCGCGTAAATATACATATATGGATAATATTGGGTCACAAAAGCCGCCGTGTCAAACGCAATGGGTCAGTGAATGGGCATGGGCTTGCATGGGCTACGGGATAATTATCAGTGGAGAGCGTTCTAAGAGAACGATTGACCCCCGCCGAGAATGCGCAGTCATCACCCCGTGTAACAATAGCCCCACGATCTGCACTAAACCCCGTGGCGCTTGCACAAAATCGTGCACCCCCCCCCCCCCCCTGCATTTAATTGGACAGCGTCGATGCGTCGTCACTGTTTCTGCTTCAGCGTGCGTACCACGAGGCGCCATTTGGATCGCCGTAAGCCACCTTTTTATGCTGAAGCTCATCCTGCCACAGTCAGCCAGTCACTAATCCAGCCAGAGAGGCATCTGTCCAGACCGTGAGACAGTCGCCCACGCAACCAGCTGCCTACCCACCCAGCTAGATACCCACCCAGTAGATTGTCTACCCACCCAGCCAGTCACCTACCTATCCAGCCAATTGCTTGCCAACCCAACTAGCCACTCACACCCAGCCATATATATCTACTTAGCTAGCAACCAACTCGAATAACCATCCAGTCACACAGCCAGCGACTTATCTACCCATCAGGCCAGCTTGACGCCTAGCCAGCCAGCTAGCCAGCCGGTCAGTCAGCCAGCCATCTGGCTAGCCAGCCACCCGGTTAGCCAGCCATCTGGCAACCAGTCAGCCAACCAGCCAGCCAACCGATCAGCCAGGTGGCTAGCTAGCTAACCGGTCAGCTAGCCACTGGAGCTATGGACTTTTAAATATGAATTGAAAACTAATTTCTTTATCACTGCTCTTCTCATGTTTAATTTGTTGTCCATCTCCCGTACCTCCGATTTAGCATGGTTGGCTACGTACGGTGTGAAATAATTACAACATTCGTACATATGCACTTAAAGCCATCTCGCTGGATAGCCAGCAAACAGCCAGTCGGCCCACCAGCATTCCAGGCATCCACTGAGCCACCCACCCAGCAAGCGCGCGAGTTCGGTCGGGCGTGAAAGGTCACCTTCCCTTTGCCACTGTGGACAGTAACAAAAAATATATATTCCAAACTCATTCACGATTCGGTGGAGACTCTGACTGGCCGGTCCAGCGAATGATGGTGAACTTGAGGATTATGAAGATGATGAGAGAAGGGTTTTTGACATCCACATAACAGCGGAAAGTTTGTCATTGTTGATTCTATGTAAAACCGATTCCAACACTCTGACAATTATGACTTTGCAGATGTTATAGGACAGAGGCCGTGATCGAACGGTGAATTGTGGCACAGCTGAGCCGCCCTCAACGCTGGACTGTACCCATAGCCGCCCACGCACTCACACAAACAAAAACAAAGATCCCCCGAATAGCCTCTAACAAACTGTAGGGGGCAAGTGCTGTTAGTGAGCGCCTATTAAGGCCGACACGGCACATGAGGGGGTGGGTGGCCAGCACCACGCCGACCGCCTTTATCTCTCCAGTGGAAATGTTTACACACCGCACCAGGTACTCCTATGAGGCTGAGTCGACCTAGGGGAGGCCCAGAACCGGTTCAGATGATCGTCACCGGCGTTGGGCCGTGAGCGGGAATCAAACTCGGGCCTCCGGTTTTGTAGCGCAGCGTAGCGCTAACCGCTACGCTACCGCTCCCCACACACAACTAAGCACACACTCCCACCCACACACAACCACGCACACACACGTGCGTGACAAAACCGCGCCACCGCTCGATGGGACGGAATGGATTCCCCGCTCCACCGTAACGGATCGCTGTGCACGTGGGGGGGGGGGGGGGGGGGGGGGGGTCACCGTCCGGGACACGGCGAGACGGATCGAAGCTCCCTCCTTGGTGCGGCGAGGTCGAGACGACCGCTTGACCGCTTCACGGGTGGTGAGCAGAGCCACGGGCAGAGGAAGACGACGAGGAGGTCTGGGCGGACGGGGCATTGGGAGGTCATCGTCAGCGTGGGTAGGGAGTGCATTGGGAGGTCATCGTCAGCGTGGGTAGGGAGTGCATTGGGAGGTCATCGTCAGCGTGGGTAGGGAGTGCATGGGGAGGTCATCATAGTAAGACTGGTCCTTCTAGGATGTGTAGGAAGCCTGCATGCACAAGTACAGCCCTTTGTCATTCCGCTGCTAGATGAAGGCCGTCCCATGCCACGTGCATAGTAGCGGTTATTTACCATACACCACCACGCCGGTCAGTGCGGGTTGGTGAAGGCGGAGAGCATCAATGTGGCAGCACAGATAGTGCAGTGCAAATATGCATATTGCCACACTTGCCCTGTGCTGCCCACAAGCCCGCAGCCTGTAACACCTTTGTTTGACGCGCAGTGGCAGCCCATCCGAGCGCTCGCCTGCCTCAGGCCATGCCGTGAGCTGGGCAGCAAAGGGTGAATCTAAATCTGAAGTGGCTGCGGGTGCACATTTAACCTGCTGAGACCTCAAGAGAGCGGTGAGGACTCTCGTGTGCCAATGAGCCAGATGGCGGCGGTGGTGGCGACTGTGATGACGATGGCGACGACGATGATGATGATGATGATGATAAGACGGTGAGGGCGGTCCTCTGACGTCGGGTGTCGACCGTGCAACGAGCGGGGGATTTTGCGAGAGACAGGAGGCGATGGTCAGAGTGTTGTCTGTATCCCCAAGCGCTGATTGCGAAAGACCAGAGGCTGTGGTGGACGCGATTATACGAAGACAACCACAAAATAATCAACACGTTCGTCAATAACACTGCGTGACCGGAAAATAATATGTACAAGAGGCGACGTTTTGAGTTATGGTTTTCCTTCGATTATGTGCTATTAAGAAGGGTTATTAAATGGGGGCTCTTTATTGCGAGAAAGGGTAAATTCCATTCTTACTTTTGTCATACTTTGATACTGGCACAAATGTCCCATTTTGTATCTGCTCACCCCGAGCTATCAATGCTCTGATGGTGCATTGCCCTCGTATTGTTCGATTTGTGGCGTTGTTCTCTGGTCTGACACTGGTGGTGAGACTAGGCCCTAAAGAAGGCTGTCTCTGGTGTCGGCCAATTAGTTTCAAAGACAATGCACATACTGTCAGAGCATGCTTTTGTTTGCATGTTCACCACAAGTACTTTGTGTGTTTAATGCAGTAATTTGATTCCCTGCAAAAGGTTTATATTTGGTGTTTGAACATCGTAACGCCACCTGTTTTATTGCCAGAAAGGGTAAAACCTATTCTCAATTTTTCATAAGAAGGGTTATTACCCGAAACGTCGCCTATTGTATATATGTTTTCTTTCAAGGCCACAGTGTTGTTATTGACGAA